CCCTGAGAAAAGAATAATCCAAAACTAAAAAACCCCAAAACCCCAAAACCCCGCCATATAATAAAACAAAAAATTTTTTAGTATAAAAACATAAATATAAAGCTAATCATATTTAAAATGAAAGGAAACTAAAATTCTGCCAGTTCAAAGCCTGGAGTCTTTGCAGGATCTTCATTTATTAGGAGACCTACGTAGGCAACCTCTAAATAAAGAGAGGATGATAATGAAGATTACAATAATGCCACTGACAAGCAGAGATAAAATCAGAATACTTATAATTCTTAGAATGATATGATGGATGTATCTGATTCTTCTGCTAATAGGAGACAAAGAAGCAGAAATTAGCAAAGTAATTTGAGTTCGAGCAGTGGAAATGCAAACTAGATAAATAAATAGAATACTAAAAAGAGAAAATTGCAAGAGATATATGAGGACAATAGAGAGGATGAAATTACTACAATCGGTGAGTCTGAAGAACTATGGACTCAGAAATACATTCCAACTTCGCTTGTAAGTATAAACAGAATTTTTATGCTTTCGCTTTTAAACAACTAAATTTATAATTTTAGGATGAACTTATCATTTAAAAAGCAAAGATAAGCGAGTTTGAAAGATTGCTCAATGAATAAACTCTTAAGTTGATCATATTTACTGGACCCACTGGAAGTGGAAAGAATACCCTTATAAATACTTATTGCAACCAAAACGATATTCAACTTATTAGATATAAATTCTAAAACGAGTCGCGCTATTATGATCTTGAAATAGATAGTGGAATAAGGAACTTCGGATAAACATACCCTAGTGATCTTGAGAGTTTGATCTATTTTATCAGAACAAATGTAATGGTAAGCAGTTCAAATGCTAGTGCTGGTCTAAAGAGATCAAGATTTGCTTCAACTAAGACAACTTCAACTCTAGGAGGAGACCAACCTGTTCATAAACCAGATGATGAGTGTCAATTCTAGTTGAGTTACAGAATGAATTAAGAGTATGGAACATCACCTATTCATTAAAGAAAAATCTTAGTCATTAATGGTATCCCTGAATGTCTAACTATGTTTACACCTAGAAGATTTGAGTTTATCAGAGATTTCAACTAAGCTGTTTAAAACGTAGTCTTTTCTTAAAATCGGACTCCATTAATAATATTCACACTAAGTGAGCAGTAGGAGAGATCTATGTCTTTTATTGTCAAGATATTTGGAAAAGAGATTGTATAACAAAAGGATAAAGCTGTGGCATTTTTCAACCTAAATCCACCTACTGAAAAGGGAATGGACAAGCTGCTTAAAAATATTGCTTTTAGTGAAAATTTGAATTAAGTTAATGAAAGATTAATTTCTGAAATTAGAGACCAGAGTAACAGAGATTTAAGAAATGCTATTACCACACTATAATTCAAAGCAGCTGGCAAAAGAAAATCTGAATTTATGGATAGATCTAAAAATTCAAAGTAACCTAAATCCAATAACAGAAGGAACAAAGTTATTACTGAGGAGGATATGTAAGAAGAAGAAAAAGCTGTAATGTCCCAAAAAACAACCTCTGCCAAAGAATAAAAAGAGTCCTTTGCAAAAGATAATCCCTATTCAATATTCCATGGACTCGGGAAATTTCTATACAATAAGAGTAAGCTCACCTTATTATTGATATAATGTGATATTTTTAGGAATTAACCCTGAAACTCAAAAGATAGAGTAATTATCGCCTAGTAAAATGATGAGAAAAAACAAACCAAAGCTTTACTTTAGTCATAAAGATATACTTAATTAGATTTAACTTGAGCCTAATTCCTTTTGTCTCTATCTTCATCAAAATATGCTTGAATTTTTCAACAGTGTTGAAGATATAGCTAATGCATTAGATATTTTCTCTTTAACTGACAATTTAGAGACAAGAGTACCCTTTAATTACGATGTAAGATATATAGTGCAATGATTTATGTTTATAGACCCATGCATAAATTAAAGAATTTGAAGAGTAAAATGCAATTCTAAAATCAATGAGCATCACTGAGTGTAACCTTCATGTGGGAGGCCCTAAGAATTCTCATTTGTATCAAATGCAAAAGCCTTAATTCTACGATTTTACTAAAAATCTTAGAGAAAATAGATATCAAATTAGGTCAATGTCTAAAGATTAACAGATTTTAAACAACAAATTAGTATCTGAAGACCTGCTATTAAGATCTCAAAAAGAGATAGTTAGGAACATACTTCCATATATGAAGTAAATGAATCATCCAGCCATTAATGATGTCAAGGAAATCGCTACTTTTTCAATATATGGACATAGTGGCAATAGCTGGAATAAAAATGGTAATTATGATAGATCAAATTTAGTTGGAGAAGATGAGGCTAGAGATAATTTCTTTAAGGAACAAGAAATCGAGGAGAGACTGTAAAATATTAATAAATCTAAAAAAACAGTTGGTTATGGATCTACTCAAAGCACTACAAATGTAGGAAATACAGTGATGCTGATAGAAGCTAACAGCTGTTATAAAGCAATGACAAACAATCCTAAGTCAGCTCCACAAGACTTTGATGATATAAATGATTCTGAGCTCGATCTGCTTTTAGAGGACTTAGAGTTGGAAGAGGAGATATCTGACTCTGATAATGATATGAATTGAAAATTGAGAAATTGAAATCAAAATAATTGAAAGACTATAAATTGATAGAATTGAAGAGTGATACAATAGTAAATTGTAGATATTAAAAAGTAATTAAGAAACTAAATTGCAAGTAATTGAAAGTTGTAATTTAATTCCATAAAAAAACTAGCCTTTCCAAAAATAAAATCTCATTTTTTTAACCTTATATCTTTTCTTTTGGGGGTTTTGGGGTTTTGGGGTTTTGGGG